ATACCAAGGGGAAACAAATCGATTTCCAGTGATGAAAATCATTATCAAGCATTCAGGATATGAATAACGGCGAAAATCTGATTATAGACTGTTGAGAACCACGAGAAGCCATTAAAAGCTGTTAGAAATCAATTCAAATCGCAGAAATTCTTCAATTATACAATTGAAAATAAAATCTGAATTTCTACTGATTTCTGATGATTTTTACTAATTTCTTCTTTTTCCAGAATTTGCAATATTTTTAGTGACCACGCTTGGTTTGTATTGATATCTCATAATTTTTCTTCATTTCTTAACATTTCCAATGACTTCTACTGATGTGCAATGAACACATCAAAACTGATTTCCAGTAATAAAAATCACTAAAAATCACTGGAAATCAAGGAAGTCAAAGAAATCAGTTTGTTTCCCCTTGTTTTACACCCTAAACTGCATTGGATGTTTTATGTAAATACACCAGAAGATGCAGCGCGCCCTCCTTTCTCACTATATACAGTAGATTAATATATAAAAGAAGTATAGTAATAAAAACAAAAAATATGTCCAAGCGGGAAATCAATTGAGGTGCGCGGTAACTATTAAGAATAAATTCCATAACACTAGCATTAATATGATGTGAAAGTGAAAAAAATGAATATATTATTGAAGTACCAAGAAGTACAAGAAGTACCAATACGTACAGAGAAGTACGAAGAAGTACAGAGAACTACGAAGAAGTGCAGAGAAGTACAAGAAGTACAGAAGTCCGCCTTTCTCCCCTTGCTAGCACAACTGCATTTAGGACGATTTAGGAGCAAAGCGTATACACTATTCGGAACTAGCATAAATAAACTGACTCAAGTAACATAGGTTTCAGTGAAAAATGTTTTCCTTCGAGAAAACAAGCTGAGGGGACCACCGGCAAAATAGTTTAAAAAGAACTGATGTGGATTCGAGCTGTTTTATGCAATGAAGAATGTTATTCCCTGAAATCTATACTATTCGGATCTGTCTTTTATGCTGATTCTGAATATTGTATGCGCTTTGCTCGTTGTGACGAACATAGAGAGTGTCGCCTATGCCCGTCGGCATGATGGTGTATTGTGTCACCTGCACATCTCTAGTCGTGCATTTCCTTTAGTTACATTCGCTTATATACGCGAGAGCGATCACACTTGGGCGGATATAGACAAAGAGGGAACGGTCACGCAATAGAACAATGAGAGTTCATCAGGTCAATGTACAAACATAGGATACAGCGAAGAGGATAAAGTACATAAAATGAGCCGTAACGGTAAATACTGTTACACTCGTAAATGCAGTTGTGCTAACCAAGTAAGCCAAATAAGACCGGGATTTTTAACAACTTTCAAAGATGTGAAAAATCGATTCTGGTTCCGGAATGTTTCGCACAATGAAAATTCTATTTCACTTTCTATGTACAGAATTTTATGGCATGCATTTCTGTAATCACATTTTCGAATTACAGCGGTCAAAATCTCTGAAATCCCCAAGTTGGCAAAACCCACTGTATTGAGAAAATTGATTTTTCTCTGTGAGTAATCCTTCAGTCATCGAAAAGCTTTTAGCGTATATAGTAGAACCTCCCATAGTGGACACCTTGTGACGGCACAATCGTCACTGATATTATCTTGGTGCTTATTTTTTCCTTTTTCTAGCTTGCCTCTCTTTTTCTGTTGTTTGCTTTGCGCCTCATGTTGTTAATTCAATATAATAGTTAATCTTCTTTTTTACTTCTTCAAGCTTCTTCATATATATCTCTTCTCTGAGATATACGTACACTCATGTTTTCAATACATTTCTCTCATTATTCGAGCATATCTATCACTTCTTTCATTTCTTCTTCATCAAAACGAATCATCCTTTTAATTAAATACATATTATCTTCTTTCAACTCGATTGTTCGTTACAATTACTCTTAGTCGTGTTAGCTACTTGTTTACTGAGTTCTTATTCACATCTATTTCTTGTTCATTGAATAAGCTATTGGATCTTCATCCATATTCAATACCATTTTCTTTCTTTGATATCAATCGGCCATAAATAATTATTGTGGCACCTGATATTTTTATTAATTAGATCTCTGATTCTTATGAAAGGGTTCACATCTCTATATAGCGGACACTCTGTGGTGTGACGGAGCGATTTTTGCTGGAATCTAACATCTCTATAGCGAACTCATCAGTATAGTGGTCACTTTCACAGTCTCTTTTACATAAGTAACCTCTATATAGAGGACACTAACCATGAATTCAAAGAGAATGTCGCGATTATCATTATTACTCCTTCAGAATAGTGTGTCTTCTTTAATGATCTGACGGTAGAATAAAAGAAAATGTATTTTTGTAGAAGAGAGAGCACGCATCCTCTGTGTTGAATACGCATGGCGGGTATATATTCAATCGTATTGTAATATTTGTACATTATTTTTATGGGTGTTAAGAGAAAAGTGAGATTATAATGAATAGACGAGCCTGACATCCACAAGAAAAATCGCACGAATCAAAGCCAATCAACAATGGACTGTTCACCAGTACGAAAACTAGCCGACACATGCAGCATAGAAAAAAGTAGAGTCACTCAATTTTAATCGGTGAGAAAAATGCTCTGATTACATTTCCAACTCGAACAAAGGTACAAAATGAAAGCATAATGAAGAAATTAGTCAAACAACCTTTTATCAAAAACTATTGAGGTATGTTCAGATTTCCGAAAAAGGAAATTACAGAAATTTCCGAAGCTTCCATCAACTCGATTACTACATAGCAAAGCAAATGAAAATTTTTTGAAAATATTTGAAAGCTTAGAAATTTCGGAATCTTCTGNTTTTAGGAAATATCAGTAGTTTTTCATCTCTATATCCTTAGGTGGAGCATTGATTACACTGTTCAGTTGTATGGAAAGAGAAAAAGAAGAATGAAGGAGGGAGGTAGTGAACGTAGATAGCGCCTCTACCTAACACAAACGAAGCCCATGTAGTTAGATAGTTTAATCAATGCTCTATCTAAGGATATAGAGATTAAAAACTACTGATATTTCCTAAAAATACAGCAGACATTAAAACAACTAGTAAAAATAGATGACTCAGCCTGTATATTCATAAAGAATCCGCTTGTTGACTATTAACTGAAAAAACATGAGTTTGGCACATGATCGACTCTCTCGAGTCATTCAATCCAGCCACAAATATAATAGCAATCTTTTTTAATTTATTGTACCGATTAGAGTTTTTCTTTCAAATAAATTTGAAGAAATTTCTATTCACCTTCATGTATCTATATAGCTGTCGTGGCACATTTTTGTACTTCTCGTACTTCTTGTACTTCTCTGTACTTCTTGGTACTTCATGATACTTCTTCGTACTTCTTGGTAATTCTTCGTACTTCTGTAGTTCAGAAGTACAGAAATCCGCTTTTCCCCCCTTGTGTGCTAGTCAAGTAAGCCAAATAAGACCGGGATTTTTAACAACTTTCACAGATGTGAAAAATTGATTTTGGTTCCGGAATGTTTCGCACAATGAAAATTCTATTCCACTGGCTATGTACAGAATTTTATGTTATACCTTCCTGGAATCACATTCTTCGAAGTACAGTGGTCTAAGTTTCCGAAATCGCAAACAAGTTTGCAAAAAATGCACTGCACTGAGAAAATTACTTTTCTCTGTGAATAACCACTCAATCATGGAAAAACTTTCAGCTTCTATACAATTTCTCATTGTCCATAACCTGATTAACAAAAATATATACCATATAGGGTACACCACCGTTCAGTATGAAAATGGTGGACATCGACATTGAAAGTACTCCAAAAATAGACACCGTCTTATAATGTTCTGAAGAAAATAGGCATCAGAACAGAATTGATTTTTCTAAAACCGTATAGATTTTAATAGAGCATATGTCAGTACAGCTTTTGATCATAAAGGTTCTTAGCGCTATTTTGATTTTTGAATGCAGCAACATTCTACAAAAATCTAAAAAATGACTATCCAATACGCGAATAGAATCTATCTGACATGTTTGACCCTACACTATCTGGTAGAAAAATTACTGATAAATTTGGGCAATATATCATTTTGTAGAGCGCGAAAACTGCATCTATCCACATTATTATTTTTCATATAAAATACACAAAAGAAAAAGATATGGGTACCATACATACCGCCAAAGAAACCCAAAAGGGATATAAATCCCCAGACTAGTTCAAGCCCAAAAAAACTTTTTGTCATTTAAATAAAACCAAACGAAATAAAGAGAAATGTGCAAAATATCAAGTTGTATCTTTCTATGCCATTGAGATTAAAAACTGGGGGTGGCAGACTTATGATCAAATCCGACGGTATCATTTTTAATCTCATCCAATCAGTTCCNCCGCACAATTACTCGATAAATTAAAAACCAATTCGTTTAAGCGCTCAAAATTGGAGTTTCTATGCGTTTTCGCGTTCGAAAAGTGAGAATTCTGCGTAAAAAACGCGTTTCTTGCGTTTCATTAATGAGCGGTAATGACTCACAATCGCGGTTCCCTATTGAGTGTTTAAACGCGTTTTTGAAAAAGTTTGTCTGCTTGGGTACTCTTTAGAATAACAAAGCTAGTACGTGATTATTTTTAAAAGCATTCAATTGAATTTCCATGAAATTTTTCTTCTAGTCATTTTATTTGAATTTCCGAGGAATAGGAATTTACCATCGCATGACCAATCAAACAACCCTGTAGTTTGTGGTAATGCGTCGTGTTCGTGCTAGCTTCACGGCGATCTTGATTTTTATGTAAATATGACTTTAAGAACTATGGACACTGCAGTTTCGACATATTCTCATTGAAATCAACTTCCGAAGAATGAGATTCCTTTCCCTCAGAGATATCGAATCGTTTTTTTTTACATTGAGCTGTACATCAAAGTACGACATAGGAGTGAATGCAGTTTTTTTTATCGTTTCCGATCGACACGATAAAACGGATGGGCCCAAAAAAAAGTCCTTGTTCCTCATGAGAACGTTTTACGATTTAGCTTCAAATTTATCCATAGGGAATGCCTTTCGTAGTTTTGTCAAATGAAGTTTCATTGGAATTTCGCCACCCATTTGAATGGCTTCGCTCAAGTTGTTTGCATATCGAAGTTTTCTTCGAGTGCCTTCAAAATAGTCATGGAATTTGAATAATGTAATTTGTGGTGATGCTAAGACTCTAGCAGGTATGCCGAATGCTTCAGCTACAATAATTCCATGTAGTGATGTTGATATTACGAGCTCACTTTGAAGAATTAAGTTTATGATTTGATCCCATGGCAGACAGGCATTGATAGTTACTATTGGCGTATTTCCAGCAATAGCGGGTCCTCTTTTGGCGTCTATATAGTGTAATATGAGAAGTCTCGAAATGGTAGGTACCAACGCTTTTTTATATCCTGTTAAATAGTAAGGCAAAAGTAAGGCAGGATCGCCATATACTCTCGGCACTGAAATATTGAAAGTAGACATGAGAAATTGTCTCGTTCTCGGTCCACGAACTGCTCTGATATCAAGTGTTCGCATGATTTTCGAATATGATTTACTGGGAAACGTGACGGAATCCAGTACACCTGAACCCCATATCACATCATTTTTACAGGCAAAGCGAAATATACTACCTATTGACAATAGTTTTGGCGTTTTACAATATTCTCTCTGTTTTTGCGCTGTAATAAGTGAGAGATTAGCTCCGACGATAGACATTACAAGTATATGAGACAATTTATCGCCAAAATTCTCGATTGTATCACTTTTTTTCCAGTAGAATAGTGAAAAGTTTTTCCTCATCGGACTGCTTCTCAATGATAAAACATTATTGGCAGTTCCAAAATTAAATACTTGTGATACCAGTGCTCCTGTGCAAAGTATCAAAAGGATGAAAATAACACTGATGCTAAATTGCCGAGTCTGATATAATGTATTTTTTAATGTCTTCTTATTGACTTTATAAATTAGTATTCCAAAGACAGCAATTAGATTTCCGGCGATCATTTGTGAGTTGAGACTTGAACGAAAATAGATGGCTGCTGCTACGATTAATATCAATCTTTTGAAAATCGTCAACAAACTGTGTGTTACTAGTGTTACCATAGAGCATATAATCATTGATGTGCTGTGATAAATGAAACTGAAAATTCCTATTAAACATAATAAAAATATATATTGTTTGAATGGAAAGTTGAATAAGTTATTCGTCAGTAAAATAGCAATTGTGACGACTGTGCTAATTGTATACACTACGCAATGTGCCAACAAGGAGTCATGTTGCCTACTAATACGTTGAATACATACATTACGAGTAACCATTAGTAGATTTGTTATCATTCCGAGTGATATCGTAGATCCCAATGAAGAGCATTGTCCACTCCGGAATGTTACTAATGCAGCGCCGAATACCATTACTAGAATCGATATCCAATATTGCTTGCTATTAACATTCGCACCATTGCTGCTTCGCTTAAGCGTATTAGATATCCGTGGACTGTGCTCGAATAAACCAGCCAACAAAGGTTCTAAGCAACGAATTATATGAACGCATGGAATGTTTGACAATGCCAGCGTTAAATTCATCATCAATACTCCGCTCGCGTGTAGTATACCGCCAGCAATGAAAAAGTATTTTGTTGTATGATCATTTTTCATATCATTGGATGACGCAATCGCATTATCAGAAGAGCAATTCGATAATACAAGCTTTTGTTTACTAGTCCGCGCGCGTGCAATTGTATAGAATATTATTGCTCCCACCCAGCAAGAGAATGATTGAACTAACGCGGCTATACATACCGTTTTAAAAATACTGATGTTTTTGTAATTATTTTGTATAGAGTATAAGAAATCTTGCAGGTATAAAGAAAATGCAGTTGATCCCGAATACCATATTAAAACTCCCACAGTGAGTAAAACAAACATTGAACAATAGTATCTGAATAAATCTTATTGATATAATTACGAAGCATTCGAGAAAAGATAATTTCGTGAGAATTTACTACGGAAATATCTTCAGATCGCACAGAGTTCTGTGAATTTTTGAAACATGGTGTGCTGCGTATTATTGCAAAAAATTCAATACTGAGTTTTATGTTGGGTGGGTGTAGATGTGGTGGGATCGAAAAGAGCTTTATCCATACCCTCACATCTGAACTTGGGTATTACTAATTTACGCGAACACCACGAATAGTCAACTTTGTCAGATCGCATGTAAGCCATGCTTACAAATACTCAAATCTTGAAGAGTTATATCCAAGAACACCTAACTTGTTCCAGTTATAGTGAAACCAATTCGTCAATAAAGACTAAAAAATGGCCCCTCTTTACATGAACGCTGAGAATCTCCTTTATATTACGCGCAAACAATTCAATAGCATCAAACTTATCATAACGAACCAGTGATGGGATCGGTTCGTGTTTTTTTCAACCGAACCGAATCGGTTAAATAATAAAGAAAAAAATTATCCATTTTTCGTCCTTTTTTTAGAATATTCACTTAGAACAGCTTATAGAAGATATTATTATAACACTTTCTGTAGTTCTAAGAGCGACTCAGAATACTAAGCTACAAACAATGTTAAAAGCATATTTATTTTGCTTTTATTTTAGAACTATCTCTCCATGGAAAAAGCCTGCAGCGTATGTTTAGTGGATATGAGAACGATTAACCACATTTTCGTTCGTTAATTCGTACGAAGAACAGAACTTGTTTTAATTAGCAGGCTCTTATTTTTTGAATGACGTTCTTTGAAAATGTAATATAGCCTAGATTTTAAGAAATCATTTATGTGTTATACTTTTCCATCTTCGTTATGTATTTGTTTAGTTTATAATTTCGGAGTGATCCAGCACTTGACAAAATAGCGTAATGATGATGGGAATCGGCTCTATTCAAAATGAAGGTGTAGCCCTACAAGATATAAAGATTTTGCCAAAATTTTAAATTTCCCTTCCTTTCTTACAGTTTAAGAAGTAATAATCACTATGCCTGGTTAAATTTGAAAGGCCTAAAAAGCTAAGGAAATTTATCCATTTTGAAATATTAATTAGATTCTTTTTTCTAACTTTATTGCAATATTTTAAAGATAATTTTGTAGTTCAAAACAAATCAAGGTTTAATTAGTCACTTCAAAAATAATCATCAATTAATATTTGTTTGAATTTTAGCCCTTGCTACTAAAATGTGCTATACTTTTTTCCATTCGCTTTAAAAGAACAGGTTTACAAATAGATTCATATATACATTTAGATGAAACCGGTCCCCAATATTTGGAGCCGAACCGGACCGGTCCCATCACTGTTACGAACACTCACAGAAACATTCAATCTACAGATTAGTCTATGATTCCATCAATTCCTGGGGTATAATTATCTCTAATAACCCTCCAAATATAAAAGAGGTTTCTTAACAGAAGCACGTAATTAAAGGTAGCATCTGACTCAAGTTTTTCTAGGTTGAATTCGCTTCACGACTTTTCGAAACTTTTAACTCACTTCTGTTAAATGTAAATGTTACGCTCTATCGATTGGTATTATTTAGAAATATAACGCAGATCGTTGAGGGAATCCAGGCTATGGTTACTCTTGAAAATTCGCCAAGAACCGTGTATTTCTGTTTCAGCATCATCTATTTTCCCGTAATCCTGCTTTAAATAACATTGTTGGACAGAGACTAAAATTCTGCATCGATTGGCATTAGTTAGCTAGCTAATAGAAATCATTAAGCAAATTTAGGGTACAAATACGGTTTTTGGGCTTTCAATAGCAAGGAGCAGTAGTATTTCGTGCGTGACATTCAGCTGATACCCGACGAGCCCCACATCTAATGACGTCATTGAACAGAAAATGAAATTCTCCATTGACTGATATCAGCTAGTGAGTAAAGACAATTTGGCGAGCGAATCTGGGCTACGATTATGGGTTTTACCATCCTAAAGGCGCAGTATTTCAGATGAAACCTCCATTTTGTGCTGGATAACCCCCACTGGAAATAATACCAATCGATAGAGCGTAACATTTACATTTAACAGAAGTGAGTTGAAAGTTTCGAAAAGTCGTGAAGCGAATTCAACCTAGAAAAATTTGAGCCAGGTGTTAACTTTAATTACATGCTTCTGTTAAGATACTTCTTTTATATTTGGAGGGCTATTAGAGATAATTATACCCCAGGAATTGATTGAATCATAGACTAATATGTAGATTGAATGTTTCTGTGGGCGTTCTTAGTGATAAGTTTCGTGCTATTGAGTTGTTAAAACGGATATTTTGGGTGTACGTAGGTGTACACACATACTTTTTTGGTCAATCACACTTGTTTTCAGCGAAAAGTTCCTTGAAAAAGTTTTTTTTAGGGACGGCACATCTTGATGTCAGAATATGGATTATGGAGTTGTATGAGTGTTCATAGGTGCAAGTTGGATGTTTGCGCGTAATATAAAGGAGTTCTCAGTGTTCATGTAAAAAGGGGTCATTTTTTAGTCTTCATTGACGAATGTTTTTTCACTATAACTGGAACAAGTTAGGTGTTCTTGGATATAACTCTCCAAGATATGAGTATTCGTAAGCATGACTTATATGCGATCTGACAAAGTTGGCTGTTCGTGGTGTTCGCGTAAAATAGTAATACCCTCTGAACTCACACCCACACACAACACAAGTCTGTCTTGCTCATGTTTGAGACAGACAGGCAGACAGGCAAACAAGCCATCCAACAGACTCGTTTATATTTTCTCGCGTTATAACCTATCTTTCAGAAAAAAGGAAAAATACCACAATATGAAAATAATACAAATGCTGTTAAACTAATGCGAGGACACTGATGCCAAAATAACGAAACAAATGAAATGACTTAGTGATGGTGGAATAACTAAGAGCGTGTAATTGTTTTTTTGATTTAAAAAATAATCGATGAATAGATTGTTTTCTGATTTCTAAAACCTCTAGAGACATATGAACGCGTCGGTTTTTAAATTTCTTGTGGTCTTGCGAATAGTCGTTTTCTGATAATATAAATAAATGAGGATGTTTCGAAGAATAATATATAGTTTATATGGATTCGACTCATTTCTTAAATTTCGATAAATTCTCTGAAATCAGATATGAGTTTGAAGCTGCTGATTTTCTATTATTACTGTGCACAGTGGGAAGATTTTTGTTTGCGGAATTTTACCTTTTAGGAAGTTTTAACAAACTTCATTGGTGGTTAGAAAACTACGACGAAGTCCAAACAATCCCAAAAACGGAGGCAAAAGAATGAAATGATGAATGCGGAATATTTGATCACATGGTTAAAAGATGATGTAGAGCTTGTCCGGCTAACTCTGCTACCGGAGAGTGAGTGCGTTACTATTTTTATTCATTTTACTTTTCTCATTACTTTTGAACAGTTTACCAGAGAAACGCGAACAACATCTTATTTTGTTCACTAAAATGTGCTCTACATAGTGTACTGTTCATTTTTCTTGTCTAAAATATTCTTTCACTTGTCTTACGAGAAATGCAGCAGAATAAAAAATAGTTTAAACATATTAAGTACACTTTGTTGAGCGCATGTTAGTGAACAAAATAAGATGTTGCCCGCGTTGCCCCATGTAAAAAAAGCGCGAATAATCAGATTATAATCGATTAATTTTTGATTTTTAATCGATTATAATCATACATCTTTTCATCGATTACTAATCGATTCCAAATTCTTTAATAATCAGAAGCAATCGATTATAATCAGAAAACCATCCAAAAACAACGGTTAACCGATTAAAACTGATTAAATCTGATTTTAATCAATTTCGAATCGATTAATAATCGATGAAAAGGTGTATGATTCTAACCGATTAAGAATCAATTCCGAACCAGTTACGAAACGATTAAAATCAGCTACAGCTGATTAAAATCAAGCATACACTTTCATGAGCAGCGCTTCTATAATATTCACTGAATTCCATTAATTCATGAGTAAATACTGTATTCTCACGAATATAAAGAAATAAGTACAATCTCGATGCATAAAAGTAACTGAAAGCAGATTCCTTCATAATAAAAAAAANTCAATTAAACTGCTGTATGAAAAGGATCCTTAAGGATGCTGTTTTAATAAAAATGAATGACTGTGAAGCAGTGCGTGAGGGTATTGGCATTGGTGGAGCTGGCTGGTATTTTAGTTAATTGGTGGTGGACTTGATTGATCGTTATTTGTGGACTGTCAGGAAATATGCGCGAGATCTCAGGAAGATTAGAATTTCCGAGGTTTTCTCATGTGGAACCGGTCGGATTTCTATAGTTCCTTTGCGTATTCCGATTGTATTCCGTGTGATTACGGGTCGGTTCCGGCAATTTTTCCTAACGTTTACGGTTGCGGGAATAGTGCGGAATGCTCCGGTTACAATACGGTGATTTCCAAACGGAATACTGCTTCCATCTTCCGGATAGTTTTCCGGCCCGTTCCCGGTTGAAATGTCGCTGGAAATCACCGGAATTATCGGGAAATAACCCCGTTTCCAGCGGTTTCCGATCGGTTCCGGAGTTCGGAATCATCGGCCTGGGGCGAATACAATTTAAATTATTTTCATTAGCCAATAAAATCAATTGAATTTATAACTATAAAAATTCCTCATCTTTTGTGGAAAATACTTTTTTTTCGGATCCAAACAAAATAAAATGTTTTAATAAAAATCTGCTCTGTATTATGGCAAAGCTCTTATATATTTTTATGTTTGACTTAGTTTGCTGATATTGGTTCTTTCCCCTCATTGTTTCAATAAAAATTCCGGTAATCTTCAAACATTGTTCTTTCCATTGTGAAGTTTCCAAGATCCTTACCATAAAATTTGCATATGTTTGAGAACATATATATGGATTGATTGCTTAATTAGTGCCTTTGAAGTATATTAGGAGAAGCTATGTTAATTTAATATTAGTTAATATTTTAATCCATAAAAAAATGAATAAATTATTTAGTGATGACTGATATGGCTGTAAAAGTGTTTTTTTTGTCAACATAGCCGAAATATAAGATGACCAGCCATTCTATTTTTTAACCAAATTTATCAGTAGGAGAAATATTTCCTCAGATAAAGATTTGATTAGTAAATCTCAAAAAATCTAAACTAAGATCATTATATTCGATAGGCTCACTAGAATCAAACCAAACAAGATATATGATAATAACTTAAAAGATATATGCCTTTGTGATCTAATAGTGGGCAGTTATGATCATTTTATTGAGAAAAATCGTTCTGTGAAAGCAAACAAGCTCAAATTATATTGACGATTGAAATGCTCAAGAAGTTCAAACAAAAGCAGTGTCAGTTTGTCACGGGCATGCCAGCCAATCAACACATGCTTGATGGGTAATCGAATCATGCCATGAGTTGAAACGAGCATTGAATCCAAACGGTGTTATGGTTTCCTTGGTAACTGATAAACGTGTGTTTTTACCATTGCTTAAAAAAAGATGATCATAAATAGTAGAAGCGACAAGAATGAGAAAGAATCAACAAAATTGTTTTAAGTAATGAAACTGATACGATATGAAGTCCCACAATCTTTAATTCAATACTTCAAGTACAAATCTTCACTATACGTGCTTCTTCTTCAAGTTTATTTACCTGGTATCTATATGACTTAACCCAGTAGTTAATATATTAGGTTTATGAGCATATGGAAGTGGAAATAATACCGCTTGAACAACATTACGCCGACTACAGTTATCTGGTGCGCCGCAACCTCCCATACAAATGGTACCACTTTGGCCTACATGAATTAGAATAAAGTAATTAAATATTCAATATCTCAATTTTTTGCCACTTACATTGATTCGTGCTTTGATATTTACCACTAATAGGTGATATTGGCGCAGCACTAAGAGAAGTGCACTTCAGTACAGTTACAATTAATATACCTACTAAAATTTTCATGAGAACAGTGACGTGTTGGTTGAATATAAGTCTTAGCTGCAGACTGTTCTGTGGTAAGATTGTTTCTCTTTTATATATCCTTTTAGTAAAGTGACTGCTGGGGAGGAAGTTCATATCAAGACCCAATCGATTTATGCGTAGTTTATAAATTCTGAAATACTACTTAAGGGTTATCGATACTCATGTAAAAAAGATAAGCATAAAAATCAACATTTACATGATTTTCATCGATTCACAGCTCCAATAATCGATGAAAATCTCGAAATTAAGGTATTTTTTGATTAATTTTATGATTATAACCGACTTTTTCGCGCATTCGATTCGTAATCAGCGTTTTTTCATCCATATCATGGGTTTTATTACTGACATCTATTAAAACCGATTAAATTTAAAGTAATCGCTCAAGTCCGCTCTTTTATTAATCGATTTGAATCAAATTTTACGAATAATCAATTTTCATCAGTAACTGGTGATTTTCTTCTAGAAAATAATCGATTATATTCTTTAATCGGTTAAAATATGAAATCTGAAAATCATCTAAAATCATTTAACAGGGATTTCAATCCACAAGAATCGATTATATTCTTTAATCGGTTATAATCTTAAATCTGAAAATCGTCTATAATCATTGACTAGAGATTTCAATCCATATCAATCGATTATATTCTTTAATCGGTTATAATCTTAAATCTGAAAATCGTCTATAATCATTGAATAGGGATTTCAATCCATATCAATCGATTATATTCTTTAATCGATTAAAATCTTAAATCTAAAAATCGTCGACAATCTAGTAACACATTAAGCATGATTTAAAGGAATCGTTTAGATTTTTGACTCAATTGAAGAATTTAATGAGTATAATCGAACTAACAGTAACAGGTCTAACAGTAGTAATATTATAGAGCCATCAACCGCAAATTCACTCATATTTGTGTGAAGCAAATTCAAAACCAACTAAAGTTGACGGTATTTTTACAAAAAAATTGTAATTACCTTGTAGCAGTTGGCGATGATATTTAACTACTGTCATTGATTATCAGTTTCCCTTGATAATGATGTTTACTACAATGACATTAGAAATGATTAGTTCTAGTCAATGTAAATGAATTTGTTGTTATTGATTCGAAGAAGTCATCGTTGGAGTGGCTTTCCGATTCACTTTTATCATTATAGAAAAGATTTTTCACTTAATTATTAAACGCTTAAGTTGAGTGTTCTAAAGATGAATCGAAGTTACTACTGAAGCAAATACAAGAAAAATATATGTAAAATTTCTTTATCAGTAGAAGAACAACTAAGATCGTCCGACGCTAATATTCTAGCCAAGATAATAATAGTTAACTACAAAATAAAAACTTTACAGTAGCCTGAGGAATGTTCACAATTCACTTTCACGAACACCATAAAAGAAAACAAAAACAAAGCAGGATAGTTGTATAATTGATAGTAATGATATTCAATCAATTCATAAGGCGTACCCATGTAGCCGATAATGGATAAATAATGGAAAATGACCCATTATTTTCCATTATTTAAAAAAAAACATGAATTAATGCATTATAATTAGTTATTTTTTGACTTTTCAATGCATTCCAATGCATTATTCCAAATAATGGAGAATTATAAGATAGCCTATGAATCGATGGGAACGGAAAAAACGAAAAATTTCGTCAAAAATGCGAAAATATCGAAAAATTTGAGAGTAGAGTGAGAGCATTTCTTTGATAACTCTGTCAAAACTTGACCATTTTTCAAAAACCTGTATATATTCTGAAGGAGGAGATCACGAGGCATCTTCCTATGATGAAAACTCAATTTCGGATTTTTTCGAAAAATCGTTTTTTCTGAGGGGAGCCTTAAATTAAAAGAAAAACTTAAATTAAATAGTTTTTTTTTCGTTTTTTTCTTGTTTGGTCGGGCATATAGAGAGAAATGCTTATTTTATTTAAAAATGATTTTTAATTATCATGTGCATTGAGAAACGTCGACAAAGTTGAAATGATACATAATCATTTCATTAAATAATATATGAGTAATTGTTGTTTTGATTTCATAAATTTGGAAAAAATTTTACATTAATTGAAAAAGGAAACAATCTAGTAAAATTAAAAAAACCTTTTTCTATTCAATACTATTTTTAGTAGTACATAAGATGAGTCTTGTTCTCGCATTATAATCACTGTCGCATTCAACATTTTACATATCGTGGCTACTAACTGATATTGTATACCGTAAAAT